TCGCCCTTTAATATCTCCAGCGGCGTGAGACAAGGATGCCCGCTGTCACCTTTCCTCTTCAACTTCGCTGTTGACGAAGTCATGGAAATCGCGTTCACAGGACACGACTTAGAAGGTGTGGAGCTACTCCCAGGAGAACGACTTCTTGACTTAGAGTATGCTGATGATATTGCCCTGATCTGTGACAACTCACAAACGTGCCAAGCGGCACTGGACAGATTAGCACTAGCTGTCCGTCACTTCGGGCTTTGCTTCGCACCCTCGAAGTGCAAAGCGTTTCTCCAAGATTGGTCTGGACCGCCTCCTACGCTGACCCTTGGTGGGGATCAGCTAGAAGTCGTTCAAAAATTCAACTACCTGGGAAGTTGTATCAGCGCCCGTGGGATTGAAGATGAGATCACGAATCGTATAGCAAAAGCTCGGGGCGCTTTTGCTAACCTTCGCCACTTATGGCGCCGGCGCGACATCACTCTTGCCTTGAAGGGTAGAGTGTACAATGCAGCAGTACGTACGACCCTACTGTACGGTTGTGAAACCTGGCCGCTTAAAGCAGCGGACCTAAAGAGGCTAGTTACGTTCGACCACCGGTGCCTTCGTAATTTAGCTCACATCTGGTGGGAACACCGCGTGAGCAACGAGCGTGTTCGACGCCTTGTTTATGGCACAGGAAAAGGAACTGAACCGCTCAGCACCGTTATTTCACGCATCAGGCTCCGATGGCTCGGCCACGTGTTACGCATGCCAGCCCACCGACTCCCGCGACGTGTGTTGTTTGCGCGCCGAGGGTGTGGATGGAAGAAGAGGAGGGGTGGCCAAGCGATGACTTGGTCCAGAGGAATGAAGGCCCTCACTTCTGAGCTGGCCTCGGTTGGAGCGTCTCGGCTCCCTGGTTGGGGTCCGAAAGACGATGAACACGTTTGGTTGGACACACTTGCTGATATGGCTAGGAGCCGACCTCAGTGGCGTTCGTGCTGTGAGTTTCTTTGTCCCACCCCATCCCTCTTAGCCTCCCCCTCCAACCACGATCTCATTAGTTAGCCTTATATAATTTTGCATAGTAACTTTTTTTGGTGCACAGCAGCCGGCTGGTAGCTTACCGGAACGATGCCCATCCGTTACCGGTAGCTCAGCCAGCTTGCACCAGTTGCTTTTTTTCTCCTTTTTTTCTATGTATTGCGGCACATTAGCTGAGGTGTTCCCCACCTCTAGCTAACGTGTACGATGATGATGATGCATCGGCCGTCGCGTAGATTATCAAGGGTCGCCTTATCTGCTGCATACAGCAGGGCGGATAAGCGAAAACATGCTACTGCTGGCGCCTCCCTTCTTTCTTTTCCACCTTTTTCTCTTACTCCCATCCCGGCCCCCATTACCAACCTTAATTGACAGCAACCGAAGTGCTACTGGAGTAGAACCATCTGCAGCCACCATCCCACAGCACCTATCGGCAAAAGTCCCTTATAAGGCCACGCTGTCCCGTTTCCATGGCGACATTCAACGTCCGCACTCTAAGACAAACAGGTCAGCAGGCTGCACTCGCACGCACCTTGGACACACTGGGTGTTGATGTGTGTTGTGTGTCCGAAACTAGGATTAATGACCCTAATGGGGTTATTGAATTGACTGCACCTGGCTTATCCTCTCGTTATTGGTTGCACTCATCCGGAAACGCCGATGCGGCACTCACGGGTCAAGCTGGTGTAGGTATCATTCTCAGCTCCAAGGCTGAGTTATTGTTGGTTGATTGGATTCCGATGAACAGCCGTTTATGTGCAGCCCGTTTGACGACATCTGCTAAGGTTGATTCGCGAAGTAGTACAAAACGCTGTTTGTTTGTGATTTCCGTTTATGCTCCCACCGACTGCAGTTCTAATGCAGTCAAGGGCACAATTTATCACGAACTGAACGCCCTACTACGCAGTGCTAATAGTTCAGATATTATAGTACTTGTAGGGGATATGAACGCACAATTAGGGCCTCTGAGCTCTTCAGAAGCTCAGCTGGGTGGTAATTATGGACTTACCTCCGAACGGACTGACAAATGTGAGCGTCTGTTGCAACTGTGTGCGAAGCACACAGTTACTAGCACTGCTTTTAGACACAGTGGGCGCCGAAGTGCCACTTGGCGTCCACCTGTAGCTGGCCAGCGATGGACCCAAATTGACCACATAGCCATAAGTTACAGGTGGCGCGGTTCCATTCTGGATTGCCGCTTGTACTGGGGTACCTGTGTCGACTCTGATCATGCCTTGGTGCGCTGTCGTTTCTCCATGAACTTTACCGGAAGGCGCACAAAGCGTCTCCCCCGATTGCCAACGGAGAAATTGTCCCAGCACTCGGTTAGGCAAGCCTATCAAGAAGCACTGCATACCGAACTCTCGCTGTCTTGTCCTAACGACACTGAAGTTCAGTGGAATAGGATCTCGGCCGTCATGCACAACGCAGGAGCATCTGCTTGTGGCACTATCAGTCGTCACCGCACCAGTCACTGGATATCAGAGGTCCGTGAACCTGTTTGAAGCTAGAAGACAGCTCCCGGCTGGTTCTGAACACAATGTGACCAGACAGGCTATTAGGCGTGAACTAAAGCGGAGCCTACGTGCTGACAAGGAAGCCTGGTGGACCAGTCGGGCTCAAGAAATGGAGGAGGCAGGAGCAGTAGGCAATTACCGAAAGCTCTTCCAGCTTATCCGCACCAGTGGTCCCAGAAAACCAGGCGTCAGTGAGATAATCATAGACAGCGCGGGTGCGCTGATACACAATAAGGAGCGCCGTATGGCTCGTTGGGCTGAACACTTTCAAGCTCAGTTCAGCTGGCCCCCTGCTCCCGGACCTCTTCCTACTCAGGTGATGCAGGACGTGCCATGGACGGTTAGTTTAGAGCCTCTGTCGGAGGCCGAGGTCCGAAACGCGATCACAGCTCTCAGTCGTTTTCGTGCCGCGGGCCCGGATTCCCTCCCACCTGCACTATTTAAGGATGGAGGTGAAGTCCTCTGCATGGCACTGACCTCCCTATTCGAACGTATCTGGAACGAAGAGCGTGTGCCGGCTAATTGGAGCGAATCGATTATAGTGGCAATATACAAGAAGGGCAGTCGCACAGACTGTTCTAACCACAGGGGTATTAGCCTAACGCCAGTTGTGACAAAATTACTGGCTTCCATTCTCATTCGTCGCCTCACTGCAGAACGGGAATCTCGGATTAGAGAAGAGCAGGCCGGTTTTCGCCCAGGACGTGGCTGTATAGACCATACATTCACTTTGCGGCAGGTGCTAGAGCAGCGCCACGCATACCGCAGACTGACAATAGCTGTGTTCCTCGATTTCAAGAGTGCGTTCGAGTCGGTCGATCGATAGATTCTGTTCGAATTACTTGCGCTGAAAGGTATTCCCACGAAATATGTGAACATCCTTCGTGCTCTATACTCGAACACTACAGGCCGCGTCAGGGTCTATGGTGTCCTATCAGATAGCTTTTCGACTACAAGTGGCGTTCGACAGGGTTGTCCGATTTCCCCGTTTTTGTTCAATTTCGTCGTGGATTCTATCATGGAGTGTTCCCTGACGGAATCCAACGATGTAGGCGTTGAAGAGCTGCCTGGTGAAAGGTTAGTTGATCTAGATTATGCGGACGATATCGTCTTGCTTTCCGACGATTTTGCGGCGGCACGATAAACCCTGAATTGCCTGTCCAGAGTGGTCCCATTATTTGGTATGCACTTCGCACCTTCAAAGTGCAAAGTGTTGCTGCAGGACCACCAGCCACTTGATGACCCCTTGCTAACGAGGAACTCGAGGTGGTTGATCATTTCACTTATCTTGGCAGCTGCATCAGCAATGATGGGTGCATAGAAACCGACGTGAGCTCACGCATTGCAAAGGCCAGAGCTGCCTTCTTGAACCTGGGTCATCTCTGGTGACAGAAGGGAGTTTCCCTCCGTCTGAAAGGCCGGGTATACAAGGCCACAGTGAGGGCCGTTCTGCTCTATGGTATTGAAACGGCCCCTTCGGTCTGAAGATCTGAGGCGCCTTCAAGTCTTTGATCATCGTTGTTTCCGAAGCATTGCTGGTGTCGGATGGCACCAGTGTATCCCCAACGATGATGTGCGTAGACGAGTACTAGGTAGTGATAATCATGCCAGCTCCCTAGAACAACAGATAGCACTGGATAAGTTGCGTTGGCTCGGGCACGTGCTACGCATGCCTGGTCACCGCTTACCTAGGAGGGCCTTGTTCAGTCCACCAGGTGTAGGGTGTCGCAAGGCTCGAGGTGGACAGAAGTTGACTTGGCAGCGGGAAATGAAGTCACTGACGACCAAACTGGGTGCCGTTGGTCCGTCTCGCCTTCCGGGTTGGAGTCCACGTGACTCACCTTGTGCTTGGCTCGAGACTTTGCAGGACATGGCTCGCAACCGACACCAGTGGCGCGTCTGCTGCCGTCTTCTAATCGGATTGCCTGTTTAAAGTATGTTTGGTGCTGAGTTATCTGCGAGGTAATGGCTGATTATGACGCGGGGCAGTGAAAGCCGCAAGGAAGCTGTCTCGCCGATGCCACCTTATCTTTGCACGATAGCCAGCTGTTTGTGACGGTATGTTGTCTACACAAGGTGTAGGCGCCTTGACCCTGAATGTTTGCTTAGGGCATTAATGTTTCCAGGTAAGTCCCCTTTCTCTCCCTCTTCTTATTCTTTATTTCATAGGTCCTCATGGTTGTATGGCAGCGAAACATCAGTTCAAATGGCTGATGTACTGCTGTTGATGATGATGAGTCACCGCACTTTGCTGTCAGGAGAACAGCTAGTTTAGGAATAGACTCGTACTGTTTGTGCGGACGTGCATGCATCAACCGTGAGTGGACCGAACGTATGTGATCATTGCAGTCTGAATTGTGAAAGGTGGACCTTAAGGCCATGTACCTACGATCCACGCCCAGTAGAACATAAGAAATGAACGACTTAGGTGCTTGTGCTCGAGTAAAGCTACTGATCACTTATGGAAGTAGAAGCTAAATCCGTACACTTGGTCCTGCCGAAATGGGTGAGGAAGTGAGAAAGTTAAGCCAGATGCGTGTATAGCAGACAGACAACACGAGGAAGCCAATTCGGGTCGTGACAAGTGATCAATCGTGTGACTGACAAGGTTGACGCAGTTGGCGCATGTGCGCAAAGTCAAAGGACAGGGAAACCAAGGCTTATGTAGTCTCGTTAAGTTCGATCACTGAGCCAAAGGCGATGAGAAACATAAAGTAGCAGACCACAAGATGACACAGGTGAAGAAGGCAAAACACATGCCTGAATCAGAGGGGCTTTTATGGAATACGTCAAAGTGGTTCTGTACACTGGACTGAGGATGCCACACATGCCGCCGAAAAGTTTGCACGACAAGAGGGAGGGAGAGAGAATAAAGGAAGCATGACGAGGTTTTCTAACTACCCAACATCTGTTTGATGTGTGACCATCCGGTAAATGTTACAGCTACCGCTGACACAGCCAATCCAATTGCACCACCGCGTAGACAACGTTGCCAGCTGGAAGATCTGATGGCACCTAGGAAAAAAAAACATAAAAGACCGAGTTGTCACGATGATGTGGGGCGTAGGGACATGTTATTGATGAGGGACACATGATATAACGTACCGGGTAACGCGTATAATAAACCTGTACTGGTCGCTGCAGTGACTGTGTTGATTTCATCGTCAGCTCCACCTCGTAGTTTGTGAATAATGAAATCAGAAAGCGCGTAGATCAGCCCGATGGACCCGGCGGTTTGAGATAATGTTGCTCCGGATTTGGTGACGTGATTAAGCATCTGTGTGCGCTTAATTGCCGCGGTGGGCAATTTATTAATTTCCATGTCCGTCAATCCAGAATACAAACCTCTGAGACCACCAACTGTGGCCCCTGCGAATAGAAACAAATACGTGAAGTAGGAACAGAAGTACCTCCGATGACCATAGCGCCGACTTCCGAGAACGATCTTTCGAAGCGACCCCGATGTTTTTCGCCTTCTGGGAAAATAAACTGATCCTCTGGATTCTATGGACAGTTGGATTAGACTGGACAAAGTCCGACACGGAGCACATACAGTCACCAAGAATGAGGGGTCAAAGTTAAGAAACGGAGAGGCGAAAATGTTCCTATCTTGAAGAAATAAAACGCAGACTTCCTCAAAACTAGAAAGTATACTCACCATCGCGGTCCATTTGCGTTTGTATGTCCTAGATAAAATCGTTTGAAGTCTGAAAAAACCAAAATTCGGAAGCTGCGATTATTCATTTTGACCTAGCTACGCACTGACCGCAAAAAGACGCTACCACATGACCCAAACGGGAAGAAGGATGCTCTGAAAAATGTGTCAGAACAGATGGCTGTCGCTCTACCAGATAGGTAAAGGTGCGCGAGCTCAATTTACGCTTTGAGTAGGGAAACAGTGACGGTGCAGAAAAGCAGAAAGTGGGATATAAAGAGAGAGTGGGGAATACTTTGTATCGCCAAAAGCAGATCCATTTTAGGTATCCGTCATGTGATAAGACATGCAATGGATAAGAGGATAGAACTGTCGCAAAAGCATGAAGAGGCAGAAAAAGGATAAGCCGCGGTGGCACAGAGTACTGGAATTGCTGCATCCGCCAATAAAACAGCACTGATAAAGGTGAGATGCGGTGGTAACTACAAGTGCAAGAAAACAAGAAAAAGCGGGTGGATGGAAACACCAGCACCAGCAACATTATGGCAACTTGCACCGAGGTCCAACTGTTGTACAAGGACTTTCTCTTCAAAAATTTTCTTGATGCTCCTGCCGTTATGGCTAGATAATCAAAAGCGCCTATCTGTTGCATCGAGCAGGGTGGATAGGGATTTGGATGCTACTGCTCAAGTTTTCTCGTTTTATTCCTTCTCTTGCGCTTTTTCATGCCAATCACACCATTCCAACTTTCCTTTCATCCGCTCTGTTTTTAATCACAATTGCTGGTTCACCCCATATTGTTTCAGTAATCGTGTATCCTTTAGTTTTGACTCACATGTAATCGCAGTGCATCGCTCCGGTCCAGTCGACAAGTCCATGCCCAACCAAACGGACAACGTCAGTCTATCTGCTACTATTTGGAGCCCTCGATCATCCCTAAGACTAACATGCTTCAATGTGCGCATTTTATCGCAGATTAGCCGACAGGCAGCACTTGCCCAAACATTGAAGACCCTATCAATTGACGTCTGCTGCTTAACAGAAACATGCTTGCAGAATTCGAGTTCTATGATTACCCTACGATCCCCAAGGTGCGACACTGGCGATATTTTCCCAATGCGCTTGTTCTGTGATGACGCGCTTTCAAATGCCAGTTAAGCCAAAGTGAGATTTTCTGATAGCTGCACTGATGCATCGCCGCCCTTCCTTCCGGCTTTCACTGCTCCGCGTCATAATCAGCCATTGCCTCGCAGATAACTCAGCACCAAATACACTTTAAACTGGCAGTTTGACTAGGAGATAATAGCAGACACGCCACCGGTGTCGACTGCGAGCCATGTTCGGTAACGTCTCGAGTCAAACACAAGGCGGATCACGCGGACGCCAGCCTGGAAGGCGAGACGGACCGACAGCACCGAGTCCAGTCGTCAGTGACTTCATTTCTCGCTATCAAGCTAACTTTTTCCCACCTTGCGCGTTGCACCACTCTACATCTGGCATACATGGCTCTCCTCGGTAAACGATGATCGGGCGCACGTAGTACCTGCCCAAGCCAACGCAACTTATTCAGTGCTATCGTTTGTTCTAAGGAAAAAGGCTGTTTATCACTGCCTGGTACTCGCCTACGCACATTATCGTTGCGGACGCGCTGGTGCCCTCCGATACTGGAAAAGCTTTGAAGACGACGATAATCGGCGACTTGAAGGCGCCGAAGGTCCTCAGGTCGAAGCCTCACTCCCATAGAGTAGGACGACCCTCACTGTGACCATGTAAACACCGAGGAAAACCTCTTGCTGAGACCAGATGTAACAGATTCAAGAAGGCAGTTCTAGCTCTTGCGATAGGTGAACTGACTTAAGTCGGGATGCGCCCACCATTTCTGATGCAACTGTCAAGGTAAGTGAAGTGGTCAACCACTTTGAGTTCCTCAATATCAAGGGTTAAAAAGTCATCAAATTGCTGGTGGCACTGTAACAACACTGTACTTTGTAGGTGCAAAGCACGTGTCAAATAACGGGAATACTCTAGAGATTATTCGGAGGTGACTGCGCCGACCCAACAGCGTTAAAAAGCAAGACAATCACAGTCCGCACGAACAAGATAAACTAGCTTTTCACCCGACAGTACCACACATCGTAACGCTCCGCAAGGAAACACTCTACGATAGAGTCTACGGTGAAGTTGAACAAAAATGGGGAAATTGAACAACCATGACGAGCGCCACTTATTGGCGGCAAGATGTCCCATAAGCTACCGTAGACCTTGACGCGGCCTGTGATACTCGAGTACATGGCACGTAAAATGTGCACATATTTCATGGGAACACCTTCCAGCGCAAGCGTTTCGAACAGAACCGATCGATCGACTGAATTAAACGCTCTCCTGAAGTCCAAGAACACAGCTTTTGTTGGTCTGCGGTATGCGTGGCGCTGCAGTAGCACCTGCTGCAGGGTGAATGTTTGGTCTGTACAGCCACGCACCTCCAAGACGGAAACTTGTTTACACTTCCCCAATTCGGGATTCTCGCTCCGCAGTGAGGCGACGAACGAGGATTTTGTCACCAACGGCGTTAGACTAATACCCATGTGGTTAGCACAGTAAATGCGACCGCTCTTCTTGTACACTGCCACTAAAATCAATTCATTGCAGGCAGCTGGGATGGTCTGCCTTTTGGAACTGTCCGAAAAGGGAGGTCAGTGCTTTGCAGATGACCTCACTACCATTCTTACATTGTGCGAGTGGGAGGAAATCCAGGACAGCAGTACGAAAACGATTAAGGACTGCGATCGCGTTTCGGACCACAGCGCTATGCACGGCTCATCCTATATCATCTGAGTAGGTAGGGGTCGAGGAGCAGAAGACCAAATGAACTGATCTCGAAAGTGCTCCTTATTGTGAATAATGGTACACGCGCTGTCTCTGATTGTTTCACTGATGCCTGGTTTTCTTGGACTAGTGGTGCGGAGCAGCTGAAAAAGCTTGCGATAATTGTCTACTGCTCTTGCTCCCACCATTTCTTGGGCCCCACTAGTCCACCAGGCCCCGCTTTAGTTCGAGACCAGTAGTCGGCCTGGTTACATTGTGCTCAGAGCCGGCCAGGAGTTTTCTTCTTGATTGACTGATTCATTTATTATACACGTTAGCTGCAGGTGGAGAACACCTCAGCTATAGTGCCGCAATAGAAAAGAAAAAAACATGAAACAGTGGCACGCCGGCTGAGTCATCAGTAACGGATGGACATCGTTCCGAAGACCTAACAGCCGGCAACTATGCCGCCGAAAGTCATATTATGCCTATTAATTGAGATCGTGGTTGGAGGTGGAGGCTAAGCGGGAGGGGCAAGGACAAAGAAACTCACAACACGAACGCCACTGAGGTTGTCTCCTAGTCAAGTCAACATGCGTATTAAACCAAACCTTCCTTTCTGCTTTTTTCTTGATTCCAACTGGTACATCGATCTCTCGGACATTCAGTGGCTGGTTCAATAATGATTGATAGTGCCGCAAACATAGGCTTCCGCATTGCGCATGGTGGGTGAGATCCTATTCAACCCAAACTCTGACGAGAGCGAAAAATTCTATATGCAAGACATTTTTGCAGGCTTGCTTGACTGGAGACCTGGGGAATCAGTTGCTAATCGGTAAAGTTCATGAAAACGACAGCGTGCCAAGACATGATGAGAGTCGGCGCAAGTACTCTACAACGAGTGACAGTCAAGTATGGAACAACACCAGCTGTAACTTACGGCAATCCGGGTCCATCGCTGGTCGGCTATAGGTGAACGCCAAGTGGCATTTAGGTGCGCACTATGTCAAAAAGCAGTGCTACTAAGAAACAGTTCGTGCTCCCACATAGCTGCAACAGAGGCTCGTCATTGTTCGGTCGGAGTTAAGTCCATGATTACCACCTAGCTGAGCTTCTGAAGAGCTCAAAGGAAGTAACTGGCGTATCGAAATTTCCCGAAAAAACTATAATGTATGAACAGATAACACTGCGTAGTACAGTATTCAGTTCGTGGTAGATGTCCTTGGCGGCAGTATAACTGCAGGTAGTGATGGTCTAAGCAGAAACCGCAAACAGCGTTTAGTGCTACTTCGTGGATCATCCTTACTTGATGTTGTCAGGCGGGCTCCACACAAACAGCTGATCAAAGGAATGCAGTTAACTAACGATGACTCACCCTTGGCTGAGAATGATGCCTAAGCCAACATGACCAGTGGTTGCCGCACCAGAGTCTCCGGATGCGTGCAACCAAAGGCTAGAGGACAAACCGGGCGCAGTTAATTCAACAACCCCGTAATGGTCATTGAGCCTAGTTTCGGACACACAACACGCGCCAATACCCAGTGTGTCCAAAGTGCGTGCGAGTGAAGCCTGCTGACCTATTCGTCTACGAGTGCGAACGTTGAACGCTGGAAAAGAAACTGAGCAGTGTGGCCTTGTAAGGAGCTGTTGGCGTATGGTGTCTAGTGGGTGGTGCGTGACGATAAGTTCAGATCGTCGAACTGAAGTGGCATTGCAGCAGCTGTCAATTGCTAAGCTGGGAATTATAGAAGGAAGGCTAGTAATGGGGATTGGAATGTGATTAAGGGAGAGGTGGAGGGGGTCGGCCGGTGGCCGAGTGGTCTGCACGCCTAGTTTGCACTCATAAGGTCACCGGTTCGAATCCGCGTAGGAGCGGACGTCCACGTGGTATACTCAGCCCTTGCGCGACTGGTGGTGGTCGCACAGCAGCGAAGCGCCGTTACGGCGTACAGCTGGTACATTATTATTATTATAGGTGGAAAAGAAGGTACCAGTATTCGGATGTTTTCGCTTATCCGCCCTGCTGTATGCAACAGATAAGGCGACTCCGGATAAGCTGTGCATCGGCCGATGCAGGATACGGTTGAAGTTTGAAGCAGTCATGGTCGTACGTGGGGATGAGGTACTGCCAGGGCGCCAAGACCTAGAAAGAAGGATTACAGTCCTCAACCGAAGTCTTTGGATCAAAAGCCTGTCCGAGAGTCAGCAGGGAGGTGGCAATAAATCGGTTTTGTAGAACTGGACGCCA